TCTCCCGTGCCCAGCATAAGGCCTGTACACAGCAGTGGCCCTTGATGTCGCTGAATGCAGGCTGAAGGGGACAGTGGACTCTGCCTCCTACAGGGGTTGGATCCTGGAGAGAGGGAGGTGGGCGCTGCTGCCCATTGGGGATGTTAACAGGCTATAAAGAGCCCAGGCGGAGACAGCTGTGTGATCCTTACAGAGGAAAAATGGGGCTCAGAGGTTCAGTGATTTGCCCAAAGCAACTCAGCTTCCAGGCCCGGCCGGCCCAGGTCGCTGCAGCCACAGGGTCTGAGGCCCTGCCTGCCTGGAGTGCAAAGCTTGGGGGATCTGGTCAGAGAAGCAAAGCCAGGTAGGTGACGCTGAGATGCTGTGCTGACGCCTGTCCCGCCTGAATGCCCAGCATCTTTGTCTTGGTTTTCTTTCTTGTGGTAACTCTTGGAGACTTGCAGGTGGCCGCGGTGCCCCACGAGCCTTCCTGCCTCCTGGCCCTGAGACCAGGAACCAGACCAAGCCCCTGGACATCCTGGGGCCCTCCCCGACTGCCCACACTCTCCACTTTCCTGACAACCCTTGTGCAGGGAGGGACCCAGAAGGGACCAGGAGCCCTGGGCGAGACAGGTCCCCCGTCTTGGTCCCCCTCGTCTGAGAGGCACTTTATGAACTTTTATAAAGCTCTGCTCAGAGGAGCTGCTCAGTGGTGTGAGTGGTTCTGGTTAAGATGCGCCTCCTCTGCTCCAGCCTCAGTGCTCAGCTCCTTCACATCTCATTTCCCCTCACAATAATCCGACAGGGACGGGTCATCATTTTCATTTTGCAGATGAGGAAACTGAGGCACAAAGAGATGAGGTTCCTTGTCTGAGGTCCTATGGCTGGGAAATGGCAGAGCCGGGATATGAGCCCAGGACCCTAAAGCAAGCTGGTGCTTTTCGAGAAGCACGCGCTCAGCTGTAGTGGGCTGGAGCCCGGCCTCCTCGGGGCTGCCTCTTGCTGCCCTCCGCCAGCCAAGCTGGGCAGGTGTTCTGGCCACACTCGTTGGCCCCCCGGGCCTGGGCTTTCCTGGCTTGACTTGGAGACACCATGGAGGGGACGTACGAGGTGGCGACAGTAGGGTGAGGAGCAGTGGGCTGGGTGGGGACCTGGACAGTCACCCTCAGCTGGAGGGCCTGGGTCAGGAGCTGGTGGGGGGGCTGGGCTCTGTGAGGCCAGCAGCTTCTCTGGGGCTCCAGCTGTGGCCCAGACTCCTGACTCTCAGGCCACAGTGGGTTCTGGATGGCCCTTGGTAGAGATCCCAGCCGTGAACTTGCCCCAGCTGGGCAGCCACGGCCAGAGGCACTCTGACTGGGTCTGGGTGGGGGAGACAGGCTGGAGATGGCAGGAAAGGGTGGAGAGCGGCTGCCTGACTTTGAACTAAATGCGCCAAAGCAGTGGACCAAACGGCTTGGGGATGGGCAACTCAGGCGCTCTCATTATGGTTTCGCTTACTTTCTGAATAAGCAATATGCTCCCCTGGGTTAAGGAAAGGGTATATTGTGGAGAGCCTGCCTCCAGCCTGTGCGTCCAGCAGTGTGGCTACCCTTCCCAGAGGCCGCCACGCTTTCTGTGTGTCTGTCCAGAGATAAACTAAACACACAGAGGCAGATACGCTCAGACAGTATTTTAAAATATGTGTTTGCACACTATCCGGAGAAGAATGTTTTTGCACATCGCTCTTTTTCATTTAACAGCGTGTCTCAGCAATCTGTTAGCACATGAAGATCGTAGCCGCTAAGCATGGCTGGGGAATATTCCATTCTCTAGCTGTACTGACGTATTTCTTTTTAAATGAAATGTAATTTACATACAGCAAAATGCACAAATCTTCCGCAGACAGCGCAATGAATGTCGGCATACGTATACACCATGTGACCACCGCCCAAACAGAGAACTTCCATCACTCCAGAAAGTTCTCTCGTGCTCCTTCCCAGTCAACACCCCCATCGAGAAGTTACCATCATTCCGACATGTATAAGCTGACCTCGGTTTTCTTTAAAATGAGGGGAATGTTGGAGCTGACTCACTTGGTTGGTGTGAGGCTAAGAAGGTTCCTAGGACGGCAACCAGCACATTGTAATTGTCTGATCAAGGCTGGAGACCAGGATGGTTATAACGAAGTGCCTGGTGCGTGCGTGCTCTCCTGCCGCTGTCTGGGCTCTCCTGTTACCTCCAGGTTCTCTCTTCCTCTTTCTTATACACACACATACACGCGCGCACACACATACACACACACACTCTCACTCACACACCGTCTAGCCACGGAGATAGACCAAGAGGGTCATTGTGCAAAGCCCAGGCTGTGTGAATGGGCCCATTGTTCCCGGGCTGAGTTCCCAGAGCCAGCCGGTGCGGCACTGACCAGGGCTGGGCTGTCCAGTGGGAGGTGCCCATGGGCCCCTGACCAAGGGCTGACCACACCTGGCAGGATACCCACTGCCCCACCCTCCCCCGAGGGAGGCGGGAAGAGCCCTGGGTCTGCCTGGGGCCGGGTGGGGGGGCCCAGAGGACACCTCTTGTTCTCCACTACGCCTCCTGGCTCGTGAATACCGGTGGCTGGTTTGGTGCCGGCACCTTGGAGCCGAGAGGCTGTGGGCAGATGAGGTGTGGGGACAAGAGGAGAAAGAGAAGCAGGCACTGAATGCTCACTTCTCCCTTCTCCCCTCCTGGGGTGAATCGGTGTGGGTGACCTGGGGGGCTGGGGGAGGAGCTGGCCCCTAGGGAGCCACCTAGAAGCAGGCCTCCCCTGCCAGGCGGCTCACACCCAGGAGCTGGCCCAGAGGCAGGCCTGTGGTTGCCTCGGGGCCGACTGAAAGGAGTGCGCCTGCTGAGCTTCTCCAGCATTCCTCAGAGCTGAGGCCTAGGGACAGCCCTGGCATTTCTCTCCTGACCTCCCCTCCAATGCCCGGCCGTGAGACCGAGTGCAGTGCCACCTCTTGCCCTGCTTGTCACCATCTGCCAGCAGGAAATGTTCCCACCTTCTTAGCCAGGCCTGGGGAAGGGTTTGCCGTGGGGGCCAACAGGGGGTGAGCCCTGTGAGCAAGAGTAGTGAGAGATGCGGGGTGAGGGTGAAAGGGCAGGAAGGCACAACAGCGAGGGGCGGCCGGGAGGCAAGTGGGGGATTGAGAGGACCTGGGGGCTGGGGGCTGGGGTTTACTAGACAAGGATCCAGGCTTCCTGGGCACTTAATTTCTTCCTGCCTCAGTTAAGAGACCAGACTGGAGCTCCCAGCTGCTCCGGGCAGTCCGTGTCCTTAGAGCCCGGCCAGGGCCCCGATGGGCTCCCGTAGTCCCAGGACATGTCATTAGTTGCTCCCTGGGCCCAGACACTGTCCCTCCTTCCCCATCCCTGCCAGCCTGGGCACCTGCCCCACGAAGCTTGGGCCTCTGCCTGTGCATTGCCAGGGTCCAAGCTGGACCACACGCCCTGATCTGACCCGTCCCATCCAGGGGCTGAGGCTTCTGCAGGCAGGAGCCGAGAGGGAGACCAGCCCTGCCAGGAGCCCGTCTTCTCCAGGCCAGCCTTCCTCGCCATGGAAACAGGCCTACGGTGCTCAGGATGGAGCTGTAATTGCAGCCCACAATCCTGCTCTGTCCGCCCCAACTCCCACCACCTCCCAGCCCGGGGCTGGGGGATAGTCACTGTACCCTATTTTTAGATCAGACATGGGGTCTGCAGCCCGTCTTAGGCCCTGTTCGGTCAGTCTGTCCGTCTCCTCATGGCTCTGTGGCTGGGTATCTTGCGGGGTATGCCCTGGGTCGGGGGCCTGGAGTGGAAGTCTTCTCCAGGTGGACACGGGCCCTGCCACCAACTCTCCGCATCCCTGGCAGGCGGGCTCTGGGAAGCACCGGGGGACATCTTGGGTCCCGAGAGCACCCTGGTTTTCTTCAGCCTGGCCCCTGCGGGTGAGCGTGGCGATGGCCAGCAGAGTGGCTTACGGAAGGTCACCTTCTATGCTGGACCTCTTCCTCAGAGGGCAGCCACCGCAGGTTCCTTCCCCAGATGGAAGTGGACATCTCGCCTTCTCCGACCTCTCCTTCCTCCCGGAAACCTTGGGGACTTTGATGAGACTGGCCTTGGCAAGATCTGGGCCAGACCATATGAGGCCAGAGCAAGGAAGATGGAGCCTGGAGGATGGGATGGGGCCGGCTTCGACTGGCCGAGGACCGACACAGGCCACTGCTGCCTCCCACCTCCATGGACCAGAAGGGCCGGAGCCCTGGGGTGGCCAGGGTGGCCTGGGCAGCAGGTGTGCTGTGGCTTGGCTACTCACCAGAAGCAGATCGCTCAGTTTCTCTGTTTCATCCCATCCACCAAGATGTGTTGGCATCCTCTGATTTACTTGAGGCATTTTGGTCAGTAACTGGAGATGCAGAGGGACGTCTGTTGGGAGTGATGCCAAGAACAGGAGGAGTGAGGGGGGAGTGGTGCCTCCTCCGTGGCCCCCTGGCCGGCGTTTGAGGCCAGGGGCTAGAGGCTGCAGCCCCGGCCACAGGATAAGCTCTTGTAGAGACACCTTGGGAGACAGACTGGGGCACGAGTAGCTGTGCTGTGGGGCCCTGGGGACCCAGGGCCTCTGTGCCGGGGAAGATCCTGCTCTCCCAGCCTCAGGCGGCCCAAGGATGGGGGCTATGGGAGTGTCAGGAGTCAACCGTTGGCCTGGACCTTAGCCTCCCGACAAGGACCGCAGTCAGGGAGGCCAGGCTGGGGGCGGCGGCACGCCCCCAAGTAGCCCCACAGCCTTTGCCAAGTTCTAGAGCAGGAGCAGACGAACACAGCAGAGGGCCAGCGTGACTGCAGGTGACAGGCTGGTTCAGGAGCACCGCAGCGGCCCTTTGAGGGGTACACAGAAACCCTGTAGGTGGGGCAGTGGGCGACTTTTCAAGGGGCTTTGGCTGAGCACATGACAGGGCAGGAAAGGGCAAGACCAGGAGTCTGGGGGTTTTGGCCAAAATGATGTTGTCTTCTGAATCCAGGAGCTGGCAAGGCCTGGTGACCTCTGGGCCCAGCGACCCGTGGGGAGCTTACGAGGAAGAAATGGGATCATCTACATCTGAGGGACCGGTCCAGCGTTTGGCCTGAGGTAAAGTCCTCAAATATTTATTTTATTTCGACCGCAAAGAAGTTCAGGTCCCCCGATTCATCCAGAAGAGGAATACATCCAGAACAAGAATTTATCTGTACAGGGCAGAATTGGGGGATAAGAGGTATGCAAGAGACCCTTCTCTCAAGAAGCTGGAGACGCAGCTGAAGCCTCAACTCAGTTCCTGTGTGGCCTGGGGTAAGTCACTTAACCTCTCTGGGCCTCTGTTTGCTCATCTATGAAATGAGGGAGTTGGTTCAGCTCTCCCAACTCTATCATTGAATTGACCTCCTTAGCCACACCCCTTTCATATCATCTGTGGGGAAACTGAGGCTCCGGAGGACGGGTCCACTGGCCTGGCCACCTCTGCCCTAGCTTTGCTGGTGGGAGCTTTCTCTGCAGGTGCTGTGGGCTCTCAGACCTGAAGTCGGGAGTAGCCAGGAGCCATCCTCCGAGTGCTCGCTGCCTTGTCAGCGGCTCCCGTGAGACGGGAAATTGAGGATCGCGGCGGCAGATCTTAAATCAAAGTCCGGGCCATCAATCTCCGAGAACAGACTGAAATAACAAGGTGGGTGGCGCAGGCCGCCACCACATGGACAGGCGACAGATATTAAAAAGCCAAAATCTTGAGACCCCAAGTCCCTTAACCAATTTCCAAATGCCCCAGAGACCCACATGCTGGGGGGAAAGATGGCGCGCCTCATTTTAGAGCCCCAGCGGCCTGGGCTCTATTTCAGGACAGCCCTCTCGCGGGGGGCTTCTGAAGGCCCTGCGTCCCGCCACTGCCCTCCGTGGCCCCCTGGATCTCCTCCCTGCAGGCACCCCCCTGAGTCAGGCTGGCGGAACGTGGCCCAGTGGAGTGGTTAGTGCGTTGCTCAAGTCCCAGGTCCACTGCTCCCCAGCTCTGCAAACATGGGCGAGCTGCCGAGCCTCACGGCTTCTCAGTTTGCCCGTCTGTAAAATGGGAATGGTACTATCTCCTTTGCAGGGCTGCTCTGGAGGCGGAACAAAATAACCCACACAAAGCAAACAGCACAGAGCCCGGCACAGGGTGAGACCTCAAACAGTAGCCATGAATGTTAATCTTCCTCTCACCCCACAAATAAGCTCCATCTGGCGGCTACTTCCTCCCACAGGCTCTCTTGCTCTATTGCCTTTTTCCACCCTATCCATCCCTCAAGCCACAGTTAACGACCTCCTCCTCCAGGAAGCCCTCCCTGATCGACCCTCTGAGGCTCCATCTTCCTCTGACTTCCAAGGCTACGTATTTTGTCCTCCATCACATTCGTGGCAACTGTTCTTGGCTGCTTCGTTGTGTGGGATCCCATTTCCCCGAGCAAAGGCCTCTGATTCTGTCTTCTCCCTCCTCTGGCTCCCCTCCAGCCCTTGCTACAGTGCGGTGCACAGAGTAGGTGCTCACAAAACACTGGCTTGTCACCTGGCAGATGCCAGGAAACCGGAAACAGAAACCTGGTGTTCCTGAGACACCAGGTCTTTTGTCTATTTTTAGAGATTAAATGTTCTTCAAAAAAAAATCCCAAATTCCACTCCGTCTTTACATTGCAACCGCACCGATCTTTTCCTGTCAGCCTGTTGTACATTTCCCTCCTCTCCACCCGAAATACACCAGAATTTGAAAAATGAGGCGCTGGATCTGAGACTGCGAGATGGAGAAGGCGCCCTCGAAACCCTGACTCTGCTTGTCAGCAGAAGACTTGCCGAGGATTAGCTCGGGGTGGAAGGGAAGCTTCTGCTGGCTCAGCTCTGGGCTGGTGGGGGTGCCTTTCCCACGGAGGGACAGCGGGACTGGGGAACACGCAGTCCTTGCTTCCAGAAGGTCAGCACTCTTGTTAGGCAGCCCAGAGCGCTGCCACCCCTTGGGGGGCAAGCAAGGAAACAGACCTGGTCACCTTGAAGCCAGGACGGGGCTGGCGCTGCCCTCCTGGCCCCGCTGGGTGCCGGGCTGGCAGGGCTGAGGCTGGGCCGCCTCTGCGGCAGGAAGATGCTCGAAGGTGATCTGTGACCACACGGGATGGTACTCCGTTCGCTGGGGATGTGCGTCAGGGCTCGAGGCAGGCGGTGGTGGTGGGGTTTATAATTACGAATTTGCAGTTGTCACCAAGATAAATGACCATTTGGTCTGGGGAGACCCAGGGGGCAAGGGGTTCATACCATCTGGTTCTGGGCGGAGAGAGATACTTATGATCTGGGTCCCAAGTCCCCAGAGAATCACAGAGGCCACATTCTCCTCTGGGTGAGGAAGTGAATGTCCATTCCCAGCTACCCTGAACCCCAACCAGCCAACAACAGCAACAACACTGTGCAATTATTAAGCACTTACCATGTGCCAGACAGTGTACTGAGTGCTTCTGTGCATCTTACCGTCGGGTGTTTCATCTTCCGGGTGAGGAGACTGAGGCGCCAAGAGGCTGCATCCCTCACACAAAGTCACACAGCAAATACATGGCAGGCTCTGACCAGGCAGCTCCGGAGCCAACCACTCTACCACACTGTCTGTGGTGTGGGTGAAGCTTTCTACACCCAGGCGAGGAGGCTTTCCCAGGGTGCCTGGAGCTTTCAAGTCCTCCAGCCTCTCCGGCCCCCGTCAGGAGTGATGGAGAGGCTGTAACGGGAAATCAGAGATTCAGAGACGGGTGGAGATGGAAGCTGCCTGCCTTTCCTGGTCTGAGAAGATAATTGCCTGGTCAGCTGAGGAGCACCGGGGGATGAGCCGGCCCAACCGCACACCCCTCTCCAGACAAGGCAGCAGGCCTCCCTGGTGGCCAGCCCTGGCACAGGCAGAGCGGTGGCAGAGCTGGAATCCCTGCCATCCTCTCCAGCCCAGGGGCCACTGGTCACATGGGATTCTCTGCTGTTTACCCAGCTTCTCCTCCACTCCACTCTGAGAGGCCAGGGGTCCGTTTGTCTTGTCGCCAACGAGTCCCCGGTGCCCGTGCAGCCCGGCCTGTGGGAGACTCTCAGTCAATATTTGTGCAAAAAATGAAGGACTGAGCTGCTCAGTCCGCCGGCGGGTTTCCCCTACAGAAGGGCGGCAGAGGCTCCACATTTCCACCGAGGAGCGCCAGCGGCGGTCTGGCGGGCGGGGGTGGGCGGGGTGGAGCACTGGCCTGGAAGACGGTCTGCCAGCAAGCCCACTCTAACGTCCCCCTAAGCCGCCCCTTGACCTTGCCCAAGAGGCACACCTGGAGCGGGGGCAGGTGATTCATTTCCACACTCGAGGAGCAAAGGGGGGATGGGCTGGGGGGGTGTTGGGGTATTGGCATCGAAACGCTGTTGGCTCTCCTTCTGGGTTCTGGAGTCCCTCCGTTGCGCTGGCTGGGGAAGGGGCAGAGGACAGCTGGGCCCGGGCCAGGCTGGGGCTCCAGCCGGACTTCTGGAGGAGGGGGCGCTCAAGCGGAAGGCTCTCGGGGAGCGCCCTCAGTTGGGGGGGTTGGGAGGGTACGGGAAGAGGTGCCAGGGGGCAGCCTGCGCCCTCGCCCGCCGGCCTCCCCGAAGCCGGGGTGGAGGTGTGGCTCCCGCCGGGGGCGGGTGGCACAGGGGTGGGGGCGTCCGGAGCGCTCGAGGCTCCGGGAGCGGGAGGCGGCGGGGCGGCGCGGGCCGCGGGAGGGGTGGGGAGAGAAGGGGCGGGCGGCAGCCGAGGGGCGGGCGGCTTTGGGGGGTGGAGCCGGGACCGCAGCGCCCGCCGCTCGCTCGGCGCTTTAGCCGCCGCCGCCGCCGCTGCGCTGGGCTCGGGACGCGAGGCGGGCGCGGGGCGGGCGCTCGGTGAGGCTCCGGCGCCTGCGGCTGCTGCTCTCCGCCGGCGCCCGGGGCTGCGGCGCTCTGGGTCCCGGCCCCTGGCCCGGCGCCCCTGGCCCTCGCGCCCCCGGCCCCGGTCCCGCGTCTGCCCCGGAGAGCGCTCTCCGCCGGCCGAGCCGCCCCGGGCTCGCGCCCCCGGGCCATGAAGAGGGGCCCGTGAGGGCGCGCGGAGGCGGTGGAAGAGGAGGGAGGAAGGAGGCCGAGGAGGAGGGCGCGGGAGGCGGAGGATGCCGCCGCCGCCGCCGCCGCCGCCCGCCGGCCCCCGGCGAGCCTGACTCCAGACCCGAGGATGGAGCCGGCGCTGGGCGCTGCAGCGGCTCCCGGTGCGCCCCCGACCAGGTATCGGCCGGGCCCCGGGACGGGCGGGAGCCGATACTCGCCGCAGCCACGGGAGGGGCGCGGGCGCGGTGGGAGACGCCCCTCCGCTCGGGGACAGTCGCTACCCGCGCTGTGGGGCGGGGGGAGCGCAGCAGCGTGTTGGGCTCAGGAAGGGGCTCCCGGGCTGGTGGCGGGTGAACGCCGCGATCACCCCAGCCCTCCCCACCCCCATCCGGGGAGGGCAGCAAACTTGGGACGCGCGGCGGCCCCAAGGCGCCCTGTTCCCCTCCGCCGCGGAGCGCGCTCAGGGGCTGCCCTGGGCTCAGCGTCCCACAGCCGGCCCCGTTCGGGGCTGCCGAGGCGCCTCGAGACCCCGAGGTCCCCACGGCTGCACCAACTTTCTCAGCCAGGGCTGCCCCCAGAGGCAGGAGGCTGTCCTCTCTTCCTGCTCCCAGCCCCGGCCCCGCGACCTCACCGACCGCTCTGCGATGAGCTGGGCCCCCGCGGGGCCCGGGCCACCGGATGGTGCAAGAGCTCCCCACGGGAAGCCAGGAGCACCCTCCTGCTCTTCTCAGGGTCGGACCCCGGGAGCAGCCCTCCCAGGCTCCAGGAACCCAATGTTTGCTTTCACAGTTACAGCCCCAGGTAGCCCTGGCCGGGGAGCTAGGGGTTAAAAGGTAAGGCCTCAGGGTCGTCCTAGGTTGGCACCTTGGCCTGCCATGCGATGCCACAGGGTGCTCCTTGTGCCCACGCGGGCCTGCCCTTCCCCGGGGGCAGTTTCCCCACCTCTAGTGCAGGTTTCCTCCCGGTGGACTTCAAACTGCTCCCAAGCCAAGCAGGAGGCTCCGAGGACGGGCCCCTGGGGCGCCCAGGTGCAGAGGATGAGCTTAGACGTTGAGGGAGAGGTGGCTGGAGGTGGGCAGGTGGATGTCCAGTCAAGGACAGACGCGGAGCCCAGCATCCTTCGAGGGCTGATAGGGGCAGGGGGCAGAGGGGACCTACGATTGGGGGCAGGAGGCAGGCACCCTGGCTGGGAAGCCAAAGGAACCAGGAGGTGTAAGAGGCCAGGAGGCGGCCGGGGGAGCAGGGACCTGCCTTCTAGGCTTCCTCAGCCCCTTGAGGTGGGGCTGGCAGGTCCCAGGCTCCACTTCTCAGCAGCGGGGGACACTCCCAGGCTCCAGGATGACCCTGTTTCTTTTTCCAAGTGCTCTCACCGTCATGACTCACACAGTGGACTCACCAGGGAGGTATCAAGCCTCCAGCCTATTCTTTTCCCCTCCCTCCTGGGTCTTCAGGGAGCTGCCAGGGACAAGAGGGGGCGGGTTTGCCCTTGGGCCTCAGCCCCCTGAGGAGGCCAGGAGCCTGGCACTGCAAACTTTCATTTCCCTGTTGCTGGCCCCATCCTGGCAGGTGAGCCGCCCTAGGCCAGGCCAGGGTGGGGGGTGGGGGGCAGGTGAGAGGAAGTCTCTGCTAATGACCCCCCAGACCTGCTGGGGCTTTGAAATCATGGCCACGCCCCCTCCTGGCACAGACACTTCACACCCGGCCTCCTCATCTCAGAGCAGACGCATTTCCCCCCAAATCCAAATTTCCCTCTTTGCTGAGGATTGCAGCGCTTTTCGTGAAGGCGAGCTCCTCTCGCAGACAGCTGCCCTCCTGCCTGGCCCCTCAGCCCCCCTGCCCTGTGCAGGTCCCCATGAAGAGGGATGGGAGTCCCCCACCTGTCTCCCCCTCGCCCACAGGGCCCTCGTTCCAGAGGAAAGGGGGTGCTGACGGTGCTGATATTGGGGCGTGTGTTGGCTGCCAGGCTCTCATGGGGCTGGCGGGGGCAGGCTTGTGCCCCTGTCGGTTCCCCTTGCCCACACCCCTGACTCCCTCCCTTGCCCCCTGAGGGTCCCTCTCTACTTTTCCAACTCA